CTTCGGCTACGTCGAGTTCCACTCACCCGCCTCCGTGCCGCGGGCGATCGCGACGCGCGGCAGCGTGCTGAACGGCCGCGAGATCCGAATCGTGCACGCGAACAAATCCAAGGCGGTATCGGCTACGGTCGCGAGCCGCCGTGAGAAGCGGCGCGGGGTGCCCTCCGACCCCCAGCCCGTCCGAGGGGCTAAACGGCCGCGGCACGCGGTCGAGGACCGGGGTGGGAAGGTGAAACGGCAGCGAAAGGAGGGGTCTGGCGAGAAGGGCACCGGGCGCGGGCCAAAAGCGGAGCTGCCGTCGTGGGTAGGGGTCGTCACGAACCCACGGAAGAAGATTCCGAAGGATTTGCGCTCCCTCATTGGTGGAGAGAAACCGAAGCCAAAAGGCCCACGCCCACCCGTGAAGCACAAGATGAGAAACCCGGAGAAGGCATAGGACACCAGGGCAAATGGTGCGGGGAGTGGAGGTTTGAGCTACGGGTTACAAAAGAAATTTCTCACACGCTGGAAGTTAATGCGGTTAATCGAAGTAAACGGTAAATTTGATTTCTCATTTCACGAATGGTTAATCTTTCCCTATGCAGACTCGCCACCTCCTTCGCGAGAAGTTAGTGTTACGGAGTTGCGTTATTTTCGGTATGCTTATATATCCCTTTGTATTCTATTTCTCGTCTCAGTTGTGATTTTGTACTCTCAATCGACACATACAGGGAGCCAAATAAAGGTACATAACCGTATGGAATCAGAAGAACTAAGCGCACTTCGTACCGAACTTCTTCGGCAAAAGGTAGTCTTTGCCGCAGAGCTGCGTCGCCAGCGAGAGGAGTTCGAGGAACGTTTGGATGGCATCAGCCAAGCACTAGCGGAGCGCGACGCGGACTGCCGTAATTTGCAGACAGTCGTGACGATTCTAGGCAAAAAAATGGACCTATTCTCCAAGCAGCTGCATGAGCATAAGACCCGCGCGACGCCTCTACGGAGGTCGGTTTCTAATCGTAGGGCGTCACTGAACCACTTCGTGGAGAGCGCCGCCACAAGCGTTGGTCTAACTCACGGCGACGGCGGCAGGAGTGCGAAAAAAAGTGGAAGCGAACTCGTTTCGACCCCGGAGGAGGAGCCGCGCCGGTCGCATGCACTTCTCGGCAATCCCTCTAACAACAACCCACCCGATTCGTTGAGGCTGAATCTGATCTCCTCCCTAAAGTCCCTAAGCCGCACGAGCAGCCCATTTAACGAGTTCCACTCGCGTGAGGATAGCGGAGCTGCGATCGTAAGTGCCCGTGGGGTGAATCAACGCCGCCCGTTTACGGTAACGCCCACTAAAACATCCCCCGCGCGAGCCGAAACCACACGACAGGCAGATAAAAGGTACTTGTTAGGGAGCGAATCGCAACGCAATACAACCCGTTCCTGCACTCGCCGAAAGGTTGGCCCGTTTGGTCTGGGGAGTTCGAAGGGGAGCACCAAGTCGTAGCATTCCCTGGTGCACTGTCGTGGGCTCTTGTTTAAAGAGAACGCAGTGCCGTGGAGGGGGAAGGTAATGTGGTGGAAGGGACTCTTCATGGCGTAGCTGCTTTTGAGTTGGTCTATCGTTTTATAATAAATAAATAAATAAATATATATATATATATATTTATAAAATTTATATAAACGAAGACGTATAGATAGATTTTTTTTATACACCATACCCGTCTGTTACACAGATGCATTGAGTTCATATACGATCTCGCAACAGTTTTGGAATGAATAGAAAGTTGAATCTCTAGAAAGGAAAACTTTTGGCGTTTGGATTTCCCTTTTGATCTAACAAGTGAAAAATGAAGCCATTTTAACGTTTTATTTGAACTTTGCTAATGGGAAAACTTCAGGACCGGTGCCTCTATCTCCGGGAAAAAAGGTTCATATTCACTTATTTTTACCCAATGTCTGAGCTTGTGGCCCTCAAAGCAATTACCTTCCATTGATATTCTTAATAGCAACATAACCTAGGTCTCACCACACTTAATAGTTCGGTTTCATCCCAATGAGATGCTTACGAAGCGGAATGGTGTTGTCTCGTGTAGGACGTGTGCGTCTTTTCTCCACACCCCAGTTAACCGAGTCGCCCCTCCACAAAGACCAGGAAACAACAGCGTCCTGCAGTGCAGCTACCGAGGCTGCGGTGCATATTGATGCCAAGGCTGCCGAACAAATTCGAATTGCTACTGAAATCGGTGAGGAAGGTTTCGAAGAAAATATCAAAATTCTTAAACAAATGTTTCTGCGAGGGTTGCGGGCCTTTTTAATTTTCATGCTTGGCTTAGGGGCGTTCTTTTATTCAAAGAAGCGCCTTGACAGGCGCACGACGAAAAGAGAAGCAATTGAGGGCTAAATTCCATACAGAATAAAAAACGTGTAAGGAAGAAAATGGTCTAATTTCAACAAGAAGAAGATGCAACCAAGCAATATACCGTGTTGAAGGCTAGAAGATGGACTATTCCAAATCCCCTTTCTCTTCCTTTACATCTTAGCTAAAGAAAAGAGTTTTACGCGCAAGCACATAGGTTTTTATTTCTTGAACATTTCCAAAACGCTTATTTTTATTTTTAACTAATGTCTTTTGTAGACAATGGCGAGGGTTTGCTGCGTATTGCACGTAGCCCCCAGCTTTCGCCCGAGGCGGCGCAGGTGTTCAACCCGGAGACGACGCCCTCCGCAGTGCGGAAAGAAGTCGCTGAAGAGATCCGTTCGAATGCTGATGAAGGGAATGTAGGGTTGCAGGGTGATAAGGAGAAGGGATCGTCAAATTCACAAAGCGTCATGATTCACGTCGGCGCCGCCCAGAACAGCAACACTCCCGTCGAAACCAACCGTCCTGAAGCGCATCTATTAGAAACGGGTGCAAAGTGTGGGTCTCGTAAACGGGCCCTAGGAAATTTTCGCAAGGTGGGCTGCTTGTTTTGTACTAAAGATGCCTGGCATGCATATATACTCGCTTTCATGGCACTTCTTGAGGGCATTGTGATTATCTTATTTGTGCCGCCCAGTGGTGAACTGCTTAGCTACTTTGTTATAGGGTTGCTTCTAATTGGCTCATTGGTGTGTTTGCTCCTTTCGGTGTGGTTGGATCCTGGGATCGTGCCGCCCGCGCCGGCAACGGCCACACCGAAAGCACCGGAGATACGCACGATAAACGGGACCAAAGTTTTGTGCAAGATATGCCCAACATGCCACATCATCCGCCCGCCGCGCAGCACACACTGCCAGTTCTGTGATGTTTGTATGGAGGAGTTTGACCACCACTGCGGCTTCATAGGAAGCTGTGTTGCGAAGCGAACCTATCGCTTTTTTGCTGGCTTCTTTATTCTTCGGTCATGTATGGTAATTTATACTATTATACGAAGCTTCCTTAGACTGTTTACCTCTAAGAGAAAGGATTCTCTGGCAGCAGACTGTAACTCCTGGATTGTGATAATCCTATGTCTCATTGTTTCGTTAACGGAAGCCACTTGTGTTTTACCCATGTCGTTTATCTATATCAAAATGGCGCTTCTGAAGACAACCCAGAAGGAATCGGCGCGGGGCCCCTCCGGTGTGTGCGTGCGAAACCACCCCTACAGTAAAAACCTCTGCTACGATTGTCTCAAGCGATTCTTTGGGCCACTCGGCAGAAGCTACATTGAAAGTGATTATTATGTATAATTTTGAACGAAAAAAGTACTGGCGAAGAAGCACCGATAAGCTCTTCACATCACCTCGGCCCTTGCTGGTGCAGCAGGTGTGGGGAGGGTGGCGACTATTTCTTTTTTTTCCTGCTAGATCACACCACCCAGCCGTGCTTGCGTTCTTGAAAAAGAGAGCAGAACCCATGCACCAAGGGAAGTAAAAGAGCTCACTTGGTAGCATGCTCATATCAATTATCGCATTTTGCACATTCTTGTGAAATTGATAAAGCAGTCATGTGAAACACGGAGAACTATACGAAAATACTATCATAATCAATAAAAAAAAATAGCATTTATTCCCGCATATTGATTCGTGAAAGTGTCACGAATTCTCGTAGCCGTTGATTTTCACGGGAACAGGTAAATTATTGAATCATCTGTGATGTTAAATTCCTTCAGGATCGCTTCCGGCCCACCATCGAGTACCACTCCATTCATCACGAGGAGCGTTGAGTGGCCGTCGTCGCCAGGGCCCATCGTCTCCTTCAATTTGGGATCTTTTAATCGACGGAGCATAGTCTTGAACTCGCGCAGGGGTGTGTCGTCTGTGGTCGTGCATTGGTACTTCTCCCCACTGATCAGTCGGATGGTCGGCTTTACCAGATGCTTCCCCTGCATCAAAGGCGCCTCGTTGGCGGGGAGAGGCGGTGGGGAGGAAGCGGCGCGGCTCGCGCTCTTGGTTTTTCTCGTATTAGCCACTAAAGTGGGTGCCCGCTTCGTTCGAGGCGCGCGGGGAACGCGATGGTTCCGCACTGGTAGGACTTCTTCGTTAGTGTTATTATCTGTTGGCTGCGTTGGGGTCGCGTCTGCAGTCTTGCCGGCCGTTACTGCTTCTGGAAGAGTGGAGAGTGGTGGCTCAACTCGATTGCGAGTGATTTGCTTTACCTTTTTGGCCTTCACAACTGCTGTTTTTCCTTTGTGTACTTTCACATCCCTTCGGGCTGACAAACGGGCCGGTGACGGGCTTCGCTTTTGTGCGATGAGGAGTTTCTCAGTTTTAGGAGGTCGACCTGCTTTGTTGGATCTTGCTTTGACCTTTTTGCGACCGTATTTATTGTATCCCAGGTAAAGGTGGCCAAGCTTCAATTGATCTGCAAACTGGACCAAGTAGTTTTCAGCTCTTCTATGCTCTCTTGGTTCGAGTTTCATTTTATGTGTTTGTGCTTATGTTCACTCAATCCTAAGTGGTACGACTACGTCATCAGTAAATGTGGAGATAAACCAAACGTTACTGCATAGCTTTAATGTGAACAACGTCAGTGCTAGTTATCAGTTTCCTAATATCTTTTCGACATTTTCCCTCAGTTATTTAAGTTGGCGTCCTCCATTGCCTCTATTCTCTACATTCTAGTCAACTTTCTCCTTTAGGGAATTTGATTGTGGCTTCCCCGGGATTGTTGGCAGGCGCATCTTCCTGTCGCCTGCCCCGTTTGCCAACAGGCCTATCTCGATTCTCCTTAACGACCTTTTTGGGTTGCCCCGCGTCTTTGCGTCGACGCCGCATGCCGAGGTAGTAGATTGGGATCGAGTCACCGTTACTGCCTATGACCACCTGCTTGGAGAGTAGCTCGCAGCGTGCGAGGAACTCGGGGACGGTTTGCCCGCTGCGCACCAACGCCACGAGCACCTCCTTTAACAAGTATAAGGTGCGGTCAGTGGCTGCACGGGGAGTCTTCGAGACGGGCTTCGGCATGGTTTTGTAGCTTTCATCCTCCTCCGCGCGGCGCGCGACCTCGCCCTCCGGCACCTCCTCGGACCCCGCGCGATTGCTCACGTGTTGGGAGGAAGAGGAGGAGGAGGCGGAATCGTTGAGCTCGGGATGCATCGAGGTAGCCAGGGGCTGATTTCCGACACTCGGGATCGACTTCGACGCGGGTGCCCCCTCACACTCGGTTGTTGCCAGGCTCTTTCCGCCCGTCTCCTCGCTTGCTGACAGAACCTCAAAGTCAGCTACGATGATGCTATTCTCTGGGTTCGCTCGGACGCAGTCGGGGGTGTTGTCGATCATGATGGTGTAGTCCAAGTCGCGGCCGAGCTGGCGAAGGTCTTTGGTGTAGTCATCGCCGTGGAACCACTTTTTGTGGCGGTACACAAGGTGCCGTATGATGCAATCCTCGTTAATCTCCGCCAGGACGTTCTTGGCGTACTCGCGTTCCCCTGCGGTCCACACGATTACTTCAAAGTGATCCTTGATAGCGCGTAGCAAGTCTTTGAGGTAGGCTCGTGTGTAGAGTGGCCCGTCCCGGGCGTACACGACAGTTTCATCAAGATCGAATACGACGGTGTACTGCTTTTCCTTCTCTGTTAGAGGTGCCACCAGCTTACTCCCCCTACAAAGCATGGTGGGCTGCCGACGCATCTGAATTTCCTCGCCGCCATCATCCAAGAGGTTATCGTCTTCGAACACATTCTCACACAGCAGCTGGCACCCTTTTGGCAGGAGTGGTGGTGGTGATGGTGTGGTTGTTTGAGAACGGCTTCTTGGTGGGGGGTCCGCACTCATATTCCCAGACTGAAGCTAATTAGATCAATTGTAAAAGAAAAAAAGAGCAAAATGTGCGCCCGCAGAACCCTTGTTTTTGAAATTCTCAAGCGCAATGGTAGCGGATGCAATGCGTGAACTGAGAAAATAGTAAAATGTCAAGAATACAGAAAATAGGGAAAAGTTATAGTATGTGAATGACAAGAATAAAGAAACTCGTAATACTACAGTTCATCCGATAGGTGAAGTTGAATTTCGTTTCTCACTACACATAACTTGATGCGCTAAAACTATTATATCGTTCAAAAAAGATCAGCGGCCTCCAATTGTTGTTTGCGGGTCGCGGGCACCGTCTCCTTTTCTGGACGAATCCTCAAGTCATGTTCCCCGCCCCCCACCGAAAAAAAATAGAAGAACTTCATCTTCCCCTTCCTACGATAAGACACCCGGATTCACTCTCCGTCATTTTCGTCCGGATCACGTAAATCCGTTGCGGTGACCACGCGCGAGTCGAAGGCGATGTCGTCCGTCCAGCAACTCTCATCGGTGTGCAGCACCTCATCTTTGCGCTTTTTGTTCGGCAGCACCACCTGCGTGTGGCGGGGGCATGCCGGGCATGGAAGGTACGGATCTTTCTTCCCAAAGTTGACGTACCCGACGCTGAAGAGCGCACAGACGACGTGGTAGATCTCCGCACATTCTGGGTGGTAGCACGCGACGCAGGCGCCAGGCATGCCGCACAACGTGCAAACCTGCATCGCCAAGTCGCACCACACGATATCCTCCAGCTCCTTTCCACTCTGGTACGCGCTGCAGAGGTGGGCGCAGCGGCAGTGCACGACGTGCACGGTCTTCGTCGTCGTGTTTACAAATGTCTGCTCGCAGACCAGGCGAGTTGGAGAGCGGCCCGGCTTCACCCCACGCTGATCGCACAGCGCATGCTTCAGTTCCTCAAAGCTAGGGATTCGGGTGCCGCGGTTCCGGCTGCTCGCCTGGAGCAGGGAGGACACCATCCCCATGCAGCCCGCCTCATTCTCGCAGTCGAGCCCGCACAGCAGGCAGGCGGTGGAAACCTCCCGCCGCCGTCGAATCCGCTCCTTGCGCTGGAGCTCGTGGTTGGCGTGCTCGATGAGGACGCGCTCGCGCGCGCGCACATCACGACTCGTGACGGGGATCAGCCCCGGCTCGAACGGTAGCGCCCCCTCCGCGGACGGCGGGCGGTTGACGTACTGCTCCTGTCGCCCAAGAAGAGCTCGGCCGAGGGAGGAGGG